GACATGGAATATTAATCCTGTGGGATTTAGGAGTAATTGCAGAATTACAAAAGGAGTGAGAACTCACACCTGTGGTCATTGAGGTTATAAAGTCCCATTTGTATTGCTACAAAAATGGAGAGTTATAATTAACTTCTAATAGCCTTCACTTTCCAGAGAGATTAGAAACTGTTCTGCCTTCATCATCCCGAAGGCATGAAACCCATTTATAGCAGAGATTGTCCAGTGGACAGATGCATGTAAACTATTTCAGATACACACCCAGTAAAACCTTTGGGCTTCATCACATATTTTCCCTCAAACTTTTTTTTTTTTCTGCTATCCTGCGCTGTTGTGTTTTATAGACACGCACTTAACCTACATATTGCGTACAACTCAAGTTCTCTTTTTCAGGCATTACGGCCAGGATATGTTGGCATTTTTATAGTAATACAACCACTCTAGGGGATAGGAATCCCAAGACTAAGCCCTAAATTCACTAGCCATAGGTATCCTTATAGGCAATAAATACACCAAACAATATATTATTATATTGCACAGTTCTTGTCTAGGGTAGTATTTTAATCTTGCACTGGCAAACACATCTTTGCTATGTTTGGAGCTAGTCCAGTTTACAGTTAGCCTTTTGAAGAAGCATAATATGTAGCTGTAAGTCCAGCTTTGTTAAGTTAAAAGCATCATATCACTTCACAGACCTATTGACATTAACTGTTTACTGTCATTTAACACTCTCATTACATAGCTCAATGCAGGATTCCTGGGGAAACTCAGAGCCTCTCCTGTTGATCTCACATAACGAATCTAAAGTTAGGATTTTTCTCACCAGGAATTTCAAACACAATATATATATTTACATTTTCAAACTTCTCAGAACCCACTACATGTGATGATTTCAGTTATGGCTGAATTTATCTGAAAAAGAAATTGCCAGAGTCATCTGTAATAACAGCTCAATTCAATTTGTGCTGGTGAAGTAGTATCATAGATTGCAGATCATAGTAGTATCATTGCAACAGCACAGTTTTCTTTTAATGTTTTCTGCTTGTAATAGTTGCGCTACTTTATACATACAGTCCAACTGTATGTACACAGAGTACATACAATTGAGGTCCTCAAAGTACTTCATAAACATAAACCAATAAAGTCTCAAAAGAGTAGAGAAAAAATACAGTGTAATACGCACTATTATTTCCTGTGGAAGAGACAGAAAGGAGAAAACTGAGTGGGTTAGTACTCAAACCATATCTGGTTGAGTAGAGTAATACAGTGAAGCAAATTAGTTAATAATAATAATAGGAACAGGATTCTACCATGCACCTTCATGTGTTTGTGTGTATGTCTGAGCACATCTTTCACTGAGATTTGCAGAATCAGAGTGTTAATAAGTAATTTACAGTGCAAGAAATATTATAGCTAAGATTTTAAAGGAGGATGCAAAACCCAAGAATGGGCATGTTTATCAGGAGAAAAAAAAAAGGAAAAAAGGAGATGTTTTTAGCTTTACTTGGGAAGGCTTTTGATTGGGCATGTCTGTAAATCAGGTTGTTTATACAATTGTAGCAGGCTTTTTGTTCTGTTAAAACAAAAGCCTGGATTTTACTAAAATCGAATGTTAGCTAAGTAGATATATATAAAATATACAAATATAAGACAGTTTCCTTTATCATTCATATGACTATATGTGAATGAAAAAGCACCATTCTTTTTCAGCCACAAATTCTCATGATGTTATACTGCATTCCTTCTGATTTTGTTGAAGCGCATGGGGCTTTGCTCCAGTTCTGACTGAGCAGAGAAGCACCACTCATTGATTCATCTCCCTTCTTCTTCACTCATGTCTCCCAGTCAGTTAGCAACTGGCCACAACTCATAGCAACATAGCTGAAGGCACAGGTGCAATGATAGAAGCCTGTTTTTCACTCTTCAGCAACAGGATTTGTTTTAGTCAGTCCACACTACACAAGCAGAAGGACAGTTCAGCATAGTATCACATAAAAATAGTGCACTGCAGGAACAGCAGCATTGTTCACCCAGGGGTGTGACTTGGCCATGCCATGTAGTTGAGCTGGTCAAGGTGGGTAGCTAAGTAGAAAACAGGCACACCCCACCATTAGCAACACAGTTATACTGTTATGGAAGTTACTAGGTGAGCAGTTTACCTATGGATGATTTCAGGATGAATTTAGGGAGTACTAAATAGCTATGTGCACTTACTGAGAG